CAGGCATGCGCCACCATACCCAATTTATTTCTTTTAGTTCTGTGATGTTCTATGTTTTTCATTTTTGTTTACTTTTCCGGACTTACGATATCTTCATTTTCACAAATCATGTTATATGTGACTTCAATCATGGATGAATTACAACTGTGACTATTATAATCCTTTATAGATGAGTAATCTGAAAGTGGGAAAGTTTAAATACCTTATTTCTTCCAAAAAATCATTTCTTGAGAAACTTAGTTCTCCAGTAGTGATTGTGACCTACGAATAAAATGATAGACTGGCTTGTAGACAGCGGGGTGGTCACCAATCCTTTCACAAACGTCCTGTCTCGCCGCGGCTATGATGTCATCAGAAGGGGCCGGAGCGCACGCGCAGTAGCGAGACACCCCCGAGCGGTTCCGATCCAGCCTGCAGTTCTAGCACGGAGGTCAGGAGAAGTAACGCTGTGATCGCTATTGAACTCTTGCGTCACTTCTCCAGGGGTTGAGGCCGCTGAATGGGACTTTTCTGCATATTCCTCACCCCAGAGGAAAGGCAGAAACCACATCCGGGACAGGTAATCAGCCCTGGCTCGGAGGCTTGGCCTTTTAGGCTCGTTCTGTCTGGGCGCCGGCTGCATCGCGCGCTGGCCGGTCTGTGAACTACCTACAGGCCTCGGCTATCTCGCCACCCTCCGTAGCTGAAAAGAACAGTGTCTGTCTCAGCAACACCGAGAGCTCTGAGGGCGCCCGCCCAGCCGGCTCTCGTTTCCTGCTCAGGGGCAGCAGGGGGCCCCATCGGGCAGTGCTGCAGACCTGGGGTTGGCAGCGCCAACCTGGAGCTCCCCAGCGCGAAACTGTCCTGGCAGCGCCACCCCGCGGCCCGCAGAGGGCTCGTACCAGCCTCCCCCAACTCCATAATTACGATGAAACTATTGTAAAACTCAGAGAACGAAATGAAACAGCCACGCAAGCTTAAATATCGCGTGGTTTCTCTTATGCGGTAACACCAAAATGTAAGGAGAAAACAAGATAGATCATAGGAAATGAGGAGATCTTTCCCAAATGGGAAGGAGATTAAGACATGGAAGGGAGTGAAAGGGGATGAAGAAAGAACTAAAAATGCCTCATGTACCTGTACCAAATCTCGCCAAGAGGAATGTAATCATTATGCCCTGAAAACATGTTAATAAAAAATAAATGAAAGATATTCTTTTAGCGTATTTGAAGAAGATAGTGCTTTTATTTTAAAATCTGCACTTTGTATGCATTTTGAATGACTTGGAGATTCTTGGTATTAGTTTTGACATTCAGCTCATTTTTAGTAATGCTAAGGTGAAAATGTCACATAGTGTTTATCACAAATAATTTACTTTGAAAATTTAGTAAGAAAATTTTAGTACGAAAGATGAACTACCTCACTTATATTTAGCAAAGTAAAAATCTTTGGTCTTATAATTGGTTATGAGGTTAGAAGAGAGGATGAGGGGCCAGCGAGATAGTTCAGTGGTCTAAAGGGCCTGCTTAGGCAAGCTGAGCCAGGCGCAGGGAACCGCGGTTCGATCCCTGGTACCACATGCTGTGCCAGCCCAGTCCTTAGGACAAGCTGAGCCAGCAATAAATAAATGAGACGATAAGGGAAGCTCATGGTGGGAGGGATACATAAAAGCAAAAGGCAAAGGTTATGTGAGGTAGTCCCCAAATAGTACCAAAATTAAAAACAAACAAAAAACAATGGGCCAGTGAAATTGTGTCTTTGTTTTACATACTTAAGGTGTGTGTCTGGTTTTTCCACTTTGATTACAGTTATTCTTGTGTTCAGTATCAAAAGTGAAGATTGCTCTCATCTGTAGCTCACTGGTAGAATGATTGCCTTATGAAGGCCTACATTTTGTCTCTAATACTGCCTAAAAGAATAAAAGAAGCATTTCATTTGTCTCATTCAGAAGTAAATTTCATTCTTGTAGCTTGTTTCATTCCCTTTTTCTATGGTTACATCAATTTTTTTCTTTTATTATTTTTTATGTATCTAGTATAGGGTCTCACTACACAGCTCAGACTTGTAGTGATCCTCCTGTTTTGAACCTCCTCCTCAGGATTACAAGCATGTGCCACCATGCCCAGTCTCGGTGGCCCCTTAGCAGGCCCAGGGAGGGGCTGGCACAGCATGCAATAGTAATGAAAATTACTACTACATACCATTCCAGAGAGAGATACAGAAGAAGCAATAGATAAGGAATAAAGCCCCCTTTTGAGTTCTGAGATGCTGTACACTGGGGGGGGGGGGTTTGGTACAGGTGAGGATCAAAGGCTACATTACAAGGGATGAACTTAAGGTAGACAGAAGAATATGAGTACACAGATAAGAACTGAGGAAGAAGAGAGAAGTAAGATTCGAGTCTAAGAAGGCCAAAGAAGAGAGGTCACATGGGCTTACAAGCATCAAGATTGATTTAAAATGGAAGGAGACACAAAGTCTGGTATCAGGATAACAGGAATACAATTTGGAAAAGGTACAAGATGGAATAAGAAGAGTGTGGGTTGACCAGATGAATAACAAAACATCTCTTATGGTAAAGGGCCTCCTGTCTCCTGACCAACCAGGCAAACATCTTAGAAAATCCAATTCAGGACACATCTCCAACATGCTTGGGGCACCTAAGATTGGGAGTCACTTGGGAAAGGTGACTTCCAAATGCTGGAGAAACTACAAGGGGATACCCAGGGTTCCCAGTGATCCTGGGGAACGAACACTGAGGTCTACCCAAGTGAGGTGCAGTAGCATAAGGCCCACCTACAACACCACCTGGAATAGAAATCAGCTGGTTTCAAAATTTAGAAGCCAATTTAGTCACTATATTTTGGCCTAAGAGAACAACAATGTCTTCTTTCCCCCATTCCTATTTTTTGTTTTAGTTTTCCCCAAGCAAAAATACAAGTTACGAGAAGAATGCATATATGCAACTTGAATCATATAAAAAAGATTTCCTCAGGTGGGTGTGATGGTGCACATCTATACCCCAGCACTTGGGAAGCTGAGGCAGGAGGTTCGCTGCAAGTTCGAGGCCAGCCTGAACTTCATAGTGAGATGCTGTCTCAAAGAGACGAAGAAAAAGAAGAGATTCCCTTAATCACAAATCTCGTATGAAAT